TAACTGGCTCCATCTTAAAGCTCTACTCTTTTACCAAAGTTATACTAGTAGAAGGCAGCTCTTACTGAGATGTTCTTGTTCCCCAGTTGAAACAATAGAACTATGTGCTGTTGAGCTTCTGTAACTAAGAAGGCTGAAGCAAAGGCAAGCAGTACTGAGTTGCTGATAAGCTCACATACAAAAATGAAATTAAAATACTATTTCTTACACCACAGTTGACTCAAAGGTCTTAGATTTATCTCTGACCATTTGATCTTAAAGTAAGTAAAAATAAATAATTGTAAAACTCAGCTTTTTGTAACTGGTTTAAAATTTCATTTCCAGCACTATGGATCGTGATAAAGTTGGAGTCCCTACAGATGGAGATTCACATGCTATCACCTATCCGCCTGCAATTGTAGTTTACATAATTGATCCTTTTACGTATGAGAAAAAGGATGAGAACAGCAGCTCATCTAGTTTGTGGACACTTGGACTTCTGCGCTGCTTTTTAGAGATGGTTCAGGTTCTTCCTCCTAACATCAAGAATATAATTTCTGTGCAGGTGAGCCAACTTACATAGAAACGTGCTGAACAGCGTAACTTCTGGCTTTGGCTGTGTTTTGGAGGTGATAATGCCCTCAAGGTGAAAGTTGCATTTGCTTTGTAAACATTACTTACAGTTCTATGGCTGTTAAGTCATTAAGATTGTAGTTTTTTGAGCAGTTTGGGTGTTACTAACCAAAGCCCAATCCTGTAGTAGATTCCAAACTCATCAGTCTTATCTCGGAGGAGATGTAGCAGCCCACTGCAATAATGAGTGAAGTATGGGAAAGCTGCTCGTGCCGTCACCAGAATCCATGCTGCCAGTCTGACCCTGCTGGGCTTCAGACAGTGCTCCTTCCTGATAGCCATCCAACCATAATGCTGTCAGCAGCTGCAAAACTGCTTAACAGAGGACATTTTTTGGAAGAATCGCTAATCCTGGCTTCTAAACAATTATTATTTTTTTTCTCAGAAAAAAATTTCAATAGGAATAATTGCTTGAAGTCCCACATAGCTTTGGAAGAAGTGGGAGGAGGTATCAAAGAACCAGATAAATTTGATAGCAAAGTAAAATACTAAAAGCAGCGTACCCAAATACTATCTCAAAAGCCATTTAATCTAATGATGAAACAGTAATTTTTTTCCCCCCTCTGTAATCTGTTCTAGATTGTCCCATGTCAGTACCTTCTGCAACCTGTGAAACACGAAGACCGGCAGATTTACACTCAGCATTTAAAATCTTTGGCATTTTCAGCTTTTACTCAGTGTCGGAGACCACTTCCAACGTCCACCAACGTGAAAACGTTAACCGGCTTTGGCCCAGGCTTAGCCATGGAAACTGCTCTTAAGAGCTCTGATGTGAGTGTCATTAATGTGGCTGTGTAAATGCAGGTCAGAGAAATGTCCCTGTTTATTAAATCACTGGGGTCTTTCATGTTAACTAACTAGAGTTCTTAGGAATAATTGCTTCCCGAAACGTCATTGTCTGTTCTGTCATCTTTATAGCGACCTGAGTGTATTCGACTATACACCCCTCCTTTTATACTGGCTCCTGTAAAGGACAAGCAAACAGAACTGGGAGAAACTTTTGGAGAAGCTGGCCAGAAGTACAACGTACTTTTTGTAGGCTACTGTTTGTCGCATGATCAAAGATGGCTTCTTGCATCCTGTACAGATCTCTATGGAGAACAGTTAGAAACTTGCATCATTAATATCGATGTACCAAACAGGTAAGAACGAAACTGTTAAACTGGTTTTTTGGCATGTATATCTTCTTTCATTCCCCTGAAGAGTTAGCTTCTTTATGATGCTGTAAGAAAACTCTGACTTGTGTAGGCTCGCTATATTGCAAAAGTAGCTAAAGCAATGGATTTTTTTCTGTAGAATGTGCATGTTGTTTTGAGTTACATTTCTAGAAGAACGTTACTTGGTTTCATGTGATTCTTGTGTGGTTTTGTATGTGTTTGTACTCCCTATGCACACTTGCTGGCTTTTGATGTCAGTGTTAGAATGTGATTAATTAAGAAAAAACAAACCCAAACAAACCAAAGTTGCAATTGATGTCCTGCAGTACTAACATTCTTGGCTCCTGTGAATGTTCAAGTTAATACAAATAAGAAGTTCCAAATGTGGCAATAAAAACTTGTTGCAGATGAGTTCTAGTTTTGTTTTCCCTTCTTAATTCTAGAGCTCGCAGGAAAAAGGGCTCTGCCCGCAGACTTGGTCTTCAGAAACTCTGGGAATGGTGCTTGGGACTTGTGCAGATGAGCTCGTTGCCATGGAGAGTAGTAATCGGCCGTTTAGGAAGAATAGGACATGGGGAATTAAAAGGTAACGTTAGCATTTTGAGAGTCTGAAACTTGATTCAAAGCTTTAATTTTTCAATAATTTATTTTCTGGAAGAAAACCGAAATAATTTCAGTGTTTCTTTGTGTATTCGAAACTTAACACGTGACGTTTGCACCACATATTTGCATGTAAATATGTGTTCTGCAGCAAGTACTGTTCTTTTAGACAAAACGATGTCCTTCATATCCTCAGATTGGAGTTGTCTGCTGAGTCGCCGAAACCTTCAGTCCCTCAGTAAGAGACTGAAAGACATGTGCAGAATGTGTGGTATCTCTGCTGCAGACTCTCCCAGCATTCTCAGTGCTTGTTTGGTGGCCATGGAACCACAGGGCTCCTTCATTATTATGCCAGGTATTTGGGAAACTCTCTCTCTTCCTTTTTTTCCTTTTTTTTCTTTTTTTTTTTTTTTTTTTTTGGCAAGGGAACTAATAGCTCGGGTTTAGCAAAACTGAGGAAATACTTGATTTCTCTTCCAAAGATTCTGTATCGACTGGCTCTGTATTTGGACGCAGCACCACTTTAAATATGCAGACATCTCAGCTGAACACCCCCCAGGACACATCGTGCACTCACATACTGGTGTTTCCCACATCGGCATCTGTGCAAGTAGCATCGTCAACTTACACCACTGAAAACTTGGATCTGGCCTTTAACACAAACAATGGTTAGTAGATTGGATTTATTCTTCTTTTAAAAACAAACCAACCAAAAACCCCCTTGTCTCTCCCCCTGTAATAAGAGTGTTTATTCTAATGAACCACAAGGTTTATGTAGAAAGTGGTTTGATTTCACAATGTGTTGTCATATCCTTTACATATGGAAACTGTAGAAATTCACTGTTCTTGTTCTTTTTCCAAGATGGAGCAGATGGAATGGGAATCTTTGACTTGTTAGACACTGGAGATGATCTTGATCCTGATATTATAAATATTCTTCCTGCATCTCCTACTGGATCCCCTGTACATTCCCCAGGGTCCCACTACCCCCACGGAGGTGATATAGGCAAGGTAACTATTAGAGTAAATACAGGTTGTGTCTGTGTTTTGCTTGGTTTTTCTTCATCTGCTAATTTCCTTTTGTGGAATGAAAGGTTCCTATGAAATGTTTTGAATCAATGGGATATTGGCTTGTCTTTGCAAGATTCATGTAATGCTTGGATATTTCAAAATGCTTTGTGTTTTGAAAGCTACAGGTCATAATTTCTGTTAAGTTTGTGGTCTCCTAATATTAAACCATTGCCTGTTTTCCAGGGTCAAGGTACAGATCGATTGCTTTCAACAGAATCTCATGATGAAGTAACAAATATTCTGCAACAGCCCTTGGCCCTCGGTTATTTTGTGTCAACTGCCAAAGCAGGTCCATTGCCCGACTGGTTTTGGTCAGCGTGTCCTCAAGCACAAAATCAGTGTCCCTTGTTTCTTAAGGTACTGTAACTTCAGCAGGCTGTAGGGCTTTCTGGGTAGCCTGTCGTAGAAAGTTGGGCGGTGTGCAGGGATCTGAGTGATGAGAACTATTGTGTTTAAAACAAAATCAGTGCTTGGCTCTTGGAATATATCTGCTTTGGCTTCAAGAGAGGTCAGGTTTAAATTTTTTGAGCTTTGGCTTTTTATGTTCACTTTTTTTTAAGGGAAGAAAAATGGTTAAGGGAAGTAGCAACTGTTCTGACGGGTTCTGCTCTTCTGACGGTTTTTTTCATGGTGGTCTGTGCTCCTTTCTGTTTCTGGCTTGGTGCTGTGGGGTTTTGTAAGAACAGGTTGAGTTTCTAGACAGATCTCTGGTTAATGTTTGACTCCCATGGGGACCGGTGGTAGGGAGGGAAGTACACCAGTGTAATGTAATATCTCATTTACACCGGGTAAAAGAAAAAAAAATCTCTTTATGATAAATCTCTTTATGTATTGCAGAAGGCGTAAAGGCTAAGTTTTCCATGTTGGCTGTTGCCAAGTGATAGCCATTGTATCATCTGTCTGGATATTGTCTGATCCCCTTATCTTTTCATGGCACAGTCAAGACATACTTGGCACATTTGAGGCTATACATTAATTTACAGAGAAACTTTCTGTATTAACTTTATCCACTTTTGACTTAAATTAGCATCTATTATACTGTGCTTTCTTTTCTAATGATACAGATATATCTTCTTCAGCCTTATTTGTGTCTGAATTAGAGGTTCCTCTTGGCCTAAGCTCAGCTGTGGCATTGGTATAAGACATTTTTTTGAATAGGGGATTTATTATTTACCCTAAGCAGCTCTATCTATGGAATATAAATAGACCAGTCTTATGGAAAGCAAGTGAACTCCCAAGCCTGCATATTACTTGGGCCACTGGAGTTGCTTTTGTAATAATCACTTAATACAGCAAAGGGATTAAAAAAAATACCTAAAATATGTTACAGTACTAGCACTGTGCTTTTTGGAGAGATTTGCCTGCATTTTCTTTATGTTCTGATAATTCCTGAACTTGTCGATGGCCTTTAGGATAAGATTTGTTTTGGTTTGTGTGTCGAAGAGAAGGTGACCGCAAGGTGCGGGTCACCAATACAGAGGGAAGAAAATAGGCTGTAGTTGAATCAGGTAGTAACTGCCGGCATCTTTTTTTCCTTCCTTAGGCCTCTTTGCACCTCCACGTGCCTTCAGTGCAATCAGACGAGCTACTCCACAGTAAACACTCCCATCCACTTGATTCTAATCAAACTTCTGATGTGCTCAGGTATTTATGATCGATCACTTGCAAAAATATCGTGCATTTCATTTCTAATACTGCTGCAGTCAGGGTACAGACTCGTTTATTCTTCTTGCTGTTCGTTTTTTCTTTGTGCTGCTGATATCCTTAGTACATCGCAGAGACAACATAGACTGCAGTGCTTTGAGTGATTAAAGCTTTATCACAGAATTAAAACCAAACATCTCTAAGCCCTTCTTTAACTAATCAGTGTTGATTACACCTGAAGATATTTGGAAGACAAAGAATGGGGTGTAACACAGAAGATGGTGTGTAAATGAGTGGAAGATAGTTGTAGTTAAGCCAGAATCTTGCGTGGCAATCTTGTGGAAATACCGAAATGCTGAAGTACAAGAATCTAGACTCATGTAAACATAGGACACTTGTTGAGAAAACGTCAGATTTTTTTTTTCTTTGTGGGTTTTTTAAATATATGAACCTCTTGACATTTATTAAGCGTAGACAATTAAAATGACAGTTTTCTACTGAAAGAAAGCTTAGTTTTGAACTACTTGTAATCATTCTGAAGGCACGTTATTTCAGAATGTTGGCAAACCTATTTTGTGTTTTGAATACCAAAGAAGCTGCATTATGTTAAATTAGGACTGTAAAATACTAGTGAGAAAATCTGTTGGCTTGATGGAAGCTTGTTTTCTTTCCAGGTTTGTTCTGGAACAGTACAATGCACTCTCCTGGCTAACCTGTGATCCTGCAACCCAGGACAGACGGTCGTGTCTCCCAATTCATTTTGTGGTGCTGAATCAGTTGTATAACTTTATGATGAATATGCTGTGATCTTCATCTGAATTTTGCAAGACAAAAATGAGGAAAAGGGATATTTCACTGCAGGACTAAGTTATAATTCTTCTCAGTGCGAGTTGTTTGTGATGGGGTATGAATCTTGTTACTTCCAGCAAATATTGTTTTGACTTGTGAGAGGGGCACCTGTCGCCCTGGTGTCTGAGTCAGACTGTGGGGGACGCTTTAGAATGATGGTCAGAAAGTGTATTATAACATTTTTAGTAGCAAAATTAACCATTTTTCCCCAGCCACAGTATTTGTGAAGAGTAATGAGCCATAGTCCCCAGTCATGGTTAATGAATATTAAAAGCATGGAGATGAGAAGAAACACAAGGAACAATAAGTTTCAACCTATGGCTTCAGAACATCAAGATGTTCTTGTATTGGATTATAGTACCTAGTATTCAAAAATGCCTGCATCTCTTATTTATTGTAAGTTTTTAAATGTATAAATTGTCTTATATTTCTTAACCTCTTTTATAAAAATTTTCCTAGAAGGTTTATACTGCCTTCTTGCTTTAAAGCAATTGGTCTAAAATATATGTAATCGTCTTAATTAAAAGTTGCAGTAGGTTGCTTTTAGAGTATTATTTTTTTGTAAGGGGTGGGTGGGGACAGTCAATTTGTATTGTCTTGATGTACAGTTTAATGGGGATAGAGGGGTTAATGTCCATACCATTGTGTGTGGGGGATTTACAGCTAAGCTGTAGTTGCAGAGTACATGTACAGTAATGAAGTTCACTGTGTTTATATAAATTGAAAAGGTACCGGGTCTTACAGCATTTTATATCACACCTTTACAGAGTAACAATGGCAATATATAAGTGATATTGTAGGTGGTTTAACTTGTAGTGAGAATAAAATGAATAAACTCTTCAATTGAAGTTTGTGTTATGGTTCAGGGCTGTGGCTAGATTCTCAGATCTATTTCCAGTATACAGGTTTTAATATTAACAAGAATATCTGTTGTGCGTTGTTGTTACCTGGATATTCTTGGCACTGTGGTGACTGCGTTATTGACTTCCACATTTGCGATAAAACGTGAATCTGATGCAGAACACACGGAAAACTCGGATCTTATCCAAAGTCTCCTGCAAGGCTGAAATTTAGCCCAGCTCTAGCCATTTTACAAATGCAAAAATAGTCAATCTTGACTTTAAGATTGGTGTGTGTTTAGCTAAAATGTGGTGTATATAGATTCTCAGTGAATTCTGGTATTCAGATTTTATCCCACTAGTAAAAAAACAGCACGAAACCCTGAACATTTTCCTTTTTTTAATGTATTTTTGGCACTGTGGTGAAGGTCCCAAGTATCAGTGTTTGGCCTTCCCCATATTCCCTTTTCAGGCTCTGGCTGGGGCATGTGCCAAGGAGGCTTAGCCCTCCCTAAAGAAGGGACTGACAAATCACAAGGCTTTCCTAAACCTCTCCCTCTCTCTGCAGTCACCATTTTTTCTCAGTAGCTTCCTTCCTTTCTCCTAGCACATGCCAAATGTCTGATGCTGCTCTAAAATAGCCCCTACGGGTGCTGAGGAGCAACTGCATATGCTTTCGCTGCGTTACTCATCTGACTGCCAGATTAAAAACTTCACTCCTGCAGCGCTCACGTGGGCCTGTTGCGATAACCCGTGTCCTGGGTCTTAATGCTGTCCATCTTGCTGGTTTCAGCCTATAAAGGAGCAAGTTTAAGATGCATTTGTGCACCCACTGCTAATCTGCTACAGGGAAGAATTCGGTTGCATTTACAGAACTTACTGTGTTCATGAAAATCATGTTTTGTAAATGCACAATACCTGCCTGAGATCATGTTTCCTGTGAAGTCTCCTTGAATCATGTATATAAAATATTAGCAACTTTTTTTGGGGTTTGTATAAAGAAGCTGTACAATTGGTGATGAAAATTTTCAGTCATTTCTTCAAAATAACATGAGTGCAATCAGAAGCTGGCATATTTTGATAAATAGAGTTAAAAACCAAGCCTGTCCATTACTTTGTCTTGATAATGGTAGTGCACTGCAGATTCAACAGCACATTTTTGTCTTACAGAAGGGTTTTTTTTTTTCTCATTTGGCTGAGATTTTTGAAGTGGAAAAGTGCTCCTAAAACTGGAATTTTGGAATTTTAAAAGCATATAAGCATATGTCCTTTTTTTTCTTTTTTTTTCTCTCTTTTTTTTTTTTTTTTTTTTTTTTTTAGCTTTGTTGCTAAGTGGTCATTTCTAACCCTGGCTCGATTAGGCAAGTTCCAAGGGCTGGGTTTTGTTGTGGCTTTGTGTTAAATCTGACTTGTATTCATACAGGTAAGTGAATCAGGTGCCGAACTTTGGTGTAACTGTGTTCTGTTACCTGGACCACAGCTTCCCTGTGAAACTCCCCAGCTGTGAAAGCTGCCAGTTTCCCACCCCCTGCCCCCAGGGCAGGGAAGCAAATGCTAACATTGTCACCACTAGAGAGGATGAGGAGGGCCCTTTCTGGGGCCATATCAAACTGCCACCACTGTGGAGCCAGCTGCTACATTGGACATAGCTTTTTTGTTAGCTACTTTCAGTTAACTATTTTAAGTGCACATAAAAGCTGGCTGATAAATAAAATTGTTACAATCCAGTCACTTGGGTTCTTTAGCAAGTACAGTCTTGCAAGAAAATACTGTTTCTGGCAGCGCTCTGTTAAGTAGCTGTAGAGGTTTACCTCCTCTTAAGAATCCAGTGAAAGAGGGATCTGAGATCCTTCCATCCCAATTAAAAATAGGTATTTTAACCTACCTGTTGCTGTATTTAAGCCATTTAGTCACTTTGACTCACCTTTATTTGAATTAGATTTCCAAAAACCCTGTTGCTAGACCAGCAGGCCACCAACTGTACTTGCAAACAACCCCTATGCTTAAACGTCGCTGTAACATTTAGATCTTTCTAACATTTCCTGAAATAATTAAAGAGAAATGAATTTATATTTAAATCCTCAGCTATGTTCTTAGCTGTCAGTTATGGCGCAGATTATTGTATTTCTGCCTTTACCGCCGACGGTAATTTTAACTTCATGTGTTGCTGTGGAGGCTTGCAGCTGTCTTTAATCAAGCACTAGTTGTTAATACTGTAATATCAAAATATTATGTCGCATTATTTTAAAGCTTTCAAAAAGAAGAGTAAAATGTTTTTAAAAATGCTGTTGCACCCTAGAATTTGCTGCACAACAGTCTGGCACAGCCTCTCCGTCTGCTTGGGTAGTGATGCTGCGAAAGGAAGGCTTTGGTCTGGATTTCTGTGGAGAATTCGTTAATGAGGTGACGCTGTACGACATTACTGGCTTGACAGCCTCCAGCGGGGAAGGTTTGGGGTTTTGTTTTGGTTTTTGTTTTGGTTTATTTTGGGTTTTTTGGGTTTTTTTTTTGTTTTGTAGTAAAGGACCCAGGACTCTGCTTCATCCTTAAGAAAAATTAAAAAAATCCTTTGTTGTTTGTGGGTGTATTTTTTGTTTCCAGTGGAGTAAAGCTTAATTTACCGTAGAACTGGATTTGGGACCTACCACCATCCTCAGGGTCACTTTTTCAAGACGTTACTCGTGGAGCTTTAGGTTTTTCTGCGTGAACTGGAGGCGAGGACAGAGTGCCCGCCTGTGGCCTCGTTACTGGACATGTCACCTCCCAGGGAGCTGTTCCACCTCCTCACACAGCCGCACAGCCCTGGGCCATGTCGTCGTATTTATCGTGACAAAAAAAATATTAAAAAAAAAAAAAAAATAATAATGGAAGCGCTAAAGGAACAAACACTATTGCTGCCGAATGCCATAAACACGGAGTTGTACAAATCGTGACTGAGGAAATGAGAAAGGTTTATACTTTTTAAAAAAATTTCAAATGGAATAAATTAT